ACTAAAGGTATCTAATATACAGTATGAGATACTCTCCTAAGTCAAGAGCCCTATAAAGGAAAAGTTTCTACCAATCCATCCATTGCCCTATCTAATATTTCCTCTCCCCCTTGCTGTCCTCTCATCCTACCTCATATAAAGGAAACTCTACTCCCTCCTTCCTCTACTAGCCCTCCTACTACCAAAGAAAACTCATCCTGTTACCTCTATATCTAGTTATCATGTACCAATGAAACTATAACAACCAAAGAAACCCACCCTGTTACCTCTATACCCAGTAGTCATGTATTAAGAAAACTATATTTCTACCAAGGAAACCCAACCTGTCACCTCTATGTCCAATAGTCATGTACTAATGAAATTATATCCACTAAGGAAATCTACCATAGGGAATATCTGCTTAGTTGTTCTTGATGTTACTGGGCTAAACTACAGATACCTCAATCAAGCAGCAATCTTGGCCAAATGATATAACTGTTCACAGGATTATCCAAATACTAGTTAGAGTCTTCTTCTCACCCTTCAAGATATAAGCTAGGTACATGTTGGGACTATAGTATATGAACCAAGTACGAGTAGCTTTTGTGTATAAGCAATTGTATAAGGAAACTACTAATGAGCAGAAAAACGCTAGGCTTTATATATCCATCACCAGCCTCTCTAATTATCCAAGTATACACATAATCTACATACCATATCATGTCTCAGTCATCTCCTAACCTCCTGAATTCCTCTGTAGAAATACCATTAATGAGATGACTATTCAAATAAATAAATAACATAATCATATTAAGGAAATTCTTCTACCTACTACTATTGGTCCTGTTACTATAACAATCCAAATATATAATGTAATCATATAATAAATCATATAGTAAAGGAAACCTGATCCTCTACTTCTTCCAATATGCAGAAGAGCCACTGTGACCAATAGAGCTGTAGCCAGACATATTCATGTATCATCTAGTTGAACTCCTAGGTAATCTTAGTTGAGATACAATTTATCTTAGCCTCATATAGATGTATGCAAGAAGTATGACTGCTAGTGTGGATACTAGTATTTGGTTTCTGAAGATGACAATCTGTAATATTGTAGGGCTCTCTTGGGTTACCCTCTCTTTTCCTTTACTGCTGGGTGGGTTTTGAGTGGATGTTTAAGAAGAACCTGGTATAATGTTTCCCAAGGTAGTGCTCAGGACCTTCCTTATAGTTTCAAGTGGAGAGGAGAGGTAGACGTTCCTCAAGAGTTCTTATAAGGTGGGAGCATGCTGGCTATCATTGATTTCAGTACCATCTATGTTTTAGCTTGTAACAGTTAGTAACCTGTATGAACTAATACAATAGGGATTGACAGTAGGCCAACTAGCATTCAATTCCTAAGGGAGACTAGAGAGGTAAAGACAAGAAGGTCTTAGAAGAAGCAAAGGGGAAAGAGAGCAAGAGAATCACCTTTCAACTAAGTATATTTCCTATCTAGGTTCTGTCTGAAGTCTGGCATTTTCTGCTAGTCAGGAAGCCTGTCTTAAATACATGATTTCCTCCACCTAAGGTAGAGGTTCCTGAAAACCTGCAACTACTATCATTACTGGTAAGTGCACACTACCAAAATCTTATGATCCTACCAGAATCCTGAAAGCCAAAGGCAACCCTTCACCTAAGCCTTATCTCTACCACTGGTATATATGACTATTCCTTCCCTTGGAATCCCTAGGGCAAAACCTTGCCGGTACAAAAGCATAACTAATATAAAACATTACAAGTTACCAGAATCCTAATGATACTGGTAGTGAAACAATCAATCAATCCACATAAGCAAAAACAAATGAAATAACATAACAAAGGAAAACTTAAGCATAACTGGTATATAGTTACCAGAACATGTACACATGTTACATTCCCCCAATCTAAAATACCACATACTCTAGTCCAAGTCCTCCTGCTCATTCTTGTCTATGTACCAAAGGAGGGAGTCATCATCACTACTGAAGTAGTCAAATTCTGAATAGCTAGAGTCATATTTCTCATCATCATTAGGTTCCCAAAATTCGTCAAGTACAGGTTCAGCTGCACAGGGGGTTTCCAAAACTTCTATTGGTTCCCAAAACATTCTAACATAGTATGAATTGATCTTAGGTAGGGGGACCACTGGGTGGTTTCTAGTCTAGTATTCTTGGATAATTTCCAAGGAGTTCTCCAGGTTCTCAATGGGTTTCCAAGAGTCATCAGTCCTTTCATATCCTTTCCAGTGCACCAGGAATTCATCCCTATTGTTCTAGTATCTATAGTTGAGGATCTGTTCTGCTTCCTATTCTTCTGCATTGTCAATGATTATAGCTACTGGCCTGTCCATCCTTCAAGATATGAATCCATCTGGGTCATTTTCGAGGTATTCCTTAAGAGAAGATACATGGAAGAAGGGTTTCTGCCACTCCATTCATCAGGACAATTCAAGCTTGTAGTTATCAGTATAGACATCATGTTCCAATACCTTGAATAGGCCAAACCACCTGGATTCTAGCTTCTTAGATTGTCCAGGTGTAGAGGTGTAGGATTGTCCTCTAACCAGTACTCTAGTTCCAATCTTGAAGAGGCGCCTCTAAGGTTTGCACCGCTTGTCTGCTTGTACTGTTTGCCTGAATATTGCATGCTTCCATGCCATATCCACTTCCATTCTTGTTACTTCATGGGTATTCAATATTTTGTCAATAGCTGGTACCTTAGTGGCTGATTGCTGAACTGGGTTAAAGATTTTCCATAGCCATTCATAAAGGGCCTGGTAGGGTGAGATAACCAAGGATTCATGGAGTGCGCCATTCACAGCTGCCATGATAGAGAGGAGAGCTTGGGACCAGTTATTCTGCCACTTGTTGACAAATTTCCTCATCATTTGCTTAAGGGTGCGAATCCTGTGCTCCACTTGGCCGTTGGTTTGGTGATAGTATTAGGTGGCCATCCAAACCTGAATTCCCAATGATTTCATCATTTGAGACCAAAACTTAGAGGTAAACTGTTAGGTATATGGAAAAACGAGCAAAAGTTACCTGGCCTTTACTCAGGATTATTTCTACCATACCCCTGCAGCCCCCATGTAGGGACCAGCCATCATCACGGTATTACGGCCGAGTTGCGTCCCAACACCTTAGCAAGCTTAAATGACACCTCCAGCATAGCACTGTATACATCGTTGCTGTCCATCCGACCAGATGCTGTCCATAGCATATATGAGAGGGCACCTTTGGCGACTCATGAGAAGTGACTCGGAGGAATTTGGTTAAGTTTTGAGTGAGCTATTATCCTGTACATTAGCAGTTAAATATTATGGCTGATAAGTAATGGGACAATTTGGAAAGAAACCGTTAGCAACCAAATACCATGAGCCTATGGCACCAAAGGGTAGCCATAGAGCTGAGCCTCTTGCTTTGAAAGAAGTAGTACCCCAAGAGGGTCTGCTCGAGAATTGGTATGAGAGGTTTTCACCCAACGAGCTATTGGCTCGATCCAGGGCTAAAAGTCCTTCATATCTGATGGGCTTTGCGATGCATACATATGCAATGCAATAGCCGCACTCATTCATTAAAAGCTGATCACTTTATAGTTTGAGGCAGAATGATTGGTATAGTTGATATTAGGTCGGCATAGCCAAATTAAGTTCATACAGCAGAGAGATTGAAGACTACCTACTGGTGGAGTGTTCACACCCTCAGAAACAATTAGGAGTTTGAAGAAATTAAAGCTAAGCCAGGCAAATATTCTCAGGGTCAGGAGTATTCGCACTTAGGAAAAACAAGAGGTTTTTGATGGAGGTACTTAGATAGTATGGGAGTTGATTGTAGCCTGCAATAACCCAGATGCGCAATATAAATATTGAGGTACTCTCAGCTATTAGAAACATCAAGCGATGGAGAAGAGATCTTATTAATATATTTATTATTTACTCTTGAAAAAACTTATTATGAATGCAACTTTCTGAGACTACCTTGACAATCTTCATCTTTGTCTTATTTCACCTTACCTACTCTACCTCAAGAAACATACAGCCTAGGCCAACCCATACTTTCTATGGTTGGGCTACCTTGTAATATAAACTGGGAGTCCTGGTCGAGTATTATGCTAAATGGAAGGCTATGAACATCAAAGATAGTGCTTTGAAGCTTTTTGAACATCTTCTTGGAGGTGGCAAGGTCTCCAAGAAAGACAAGGTGGGTGTAAGATGTGAACCAGTCTATGATAACTATGATAGTATTGTATTTATTTGACTTGGTAAAGGGTCCAGCAAAATTGATAGTCAAGGACTGATATGCCTCATCTGGTTCTGAGGGTGTGAGGAGTTGTCCTGCTGGGGGGGTAGTTAGTTCATTATTGATCTGGCATTGGTTACACAGAGATGGCAATAGGCCATGAAATCCTGCTGCATCTGTGACCACCAAAAGGAATAAGTTGCATATCTGTAGCTCTTATGGGCTGAGAAATGCCCAAGGCCTTCATGAACTACCATAAAAACTCTTGAAATCTGCCATCTCAGGCCAGTGGGTGGTGTGCTATGGCAGGGGAGTGAGTGATCCCTTGGCTAGCTATTTGAGGAAAAGGATAAGTGGTAAGGTGACATCCTGTCTCATAATTTCAACTTCATGGGTATAATATTAATATGCTGGCCCAGTGGCTGGGGGTGCTTGACTATTTCAACAAAGAGAAAATTGGGTATCTATAAATTCTACATTCAGGTTTTCATCTTTGACTTCAGGAATATCTACCTCTGGGTATGCAGTCCCAATGTCCTCCCTCTAATTTCCTATCACCAGCCTAGAAAAGACCTTGATATCTAATTTTAAGTCCATACTTCCATCTACCAGAAGTGATAATCCTACTTTCTGGAAAACATGGCATATGAAGTCTTTTTTATCCTCATGAAATCTGTAGAAAACCTCACCCACACAGGAGGTTATAAGTATACAACATTGTCATACAGTCTATTTCTGTACACTTTCAATATTTTCTGCTTAGAAAATTGTCATATCTGTATGCTCATAAATAAGGTCTTTGAAGAGCTTGTTGATGGCAACATTGAGTGGTTGAACAAGACTTGTACAGCTACCATGGATAAGGGAGAGCATGATACCATGGGATCACATTTTTTGAAGAACAGATGGGGTCTGATAAGACCCCATTAAATCAATTGCAAATAAGGTAGAGTGACCAATAAAGACAGGAACTGGATAGTCCTCAATGTAGTATAGAAATAGTTTATCATTCATATATGCTTTATCATTAAATTTGACAAGCACATTGGGATGATATTTTGACCTCTCATCTCCCAGTCATTTGCCCTTTCCCTGTAAAATCACTATTAAGGGCACTCAAGGAACCCCATCTGCAAAGACACACAAAACAAGTGAGGTCTGTCTTTTATCCCACCCACTCTGGGAGGACTTGGCCCAAACTGTTTTCTCTCTAGTCATCTCATATGTTTTGCCATGGAGATATTCCAATAGAATAGGAGTCTCATCCAAATTGCAGATATTAGAGAGCTCAAATTGGCAGACCAGATGGTAGAGAATGATATCAAAAAAAGAGTTTGGAGGAGGTTGGGAGTTCCACCAGTTGAATCACAACCAGTTAATGACTAGTGATTGGTATTCTGCTAGTACTTTTTGAATTTTTTTTGTGATGCATCTTAAGCTAATTTTGTATTGCCCAAGAAAGCCAGCAAACCACCCATTGCTAAATCGAAAAAGGACTAAACTAACCTCCAGATACAGCTCACAAAATTGAAATGTTGCTTATCCCCAAAACCATGCTCTCCTTATGATCCTTCCCTCCCTCCTCCATGCTATAAAGTCTTCAAATAGCTTTTCCTCTAACTCCAGCCACCAACATAAGCCTACCCCCTCCTCCAGCTGTACTTGGGCAGTTGAGTTAATCTTAACACCCTCAACAGCTTTTTTTTTTTTTTTCACCCACTCCTCAATTGTCTACCAGGGAATGCTGTACAGCTCTAATACTTTTTGCTGTGTTGGCTTTCAGTATCAATTTCACTTCTGAAGGGGAATTCAATAGAGTTTGAGGAATTTCAAAGTCCTAATCCTTTGTTGCTGGCTATAGGTATGCTTGGGATGGACTACTGACTTTAGGTCTCATTTGTAGAGAATGCACTGACTAATGGTTTTTGCCTTAGGTCCTCATCGCATTTTTTTGGCTTTGGTTGTGACCATATTTGCATGGACACTTCAATTGGCTCAGAAGGAGTAAAAAAAAGAAAGGTATTGACTTCACAATTTAGGAACTTGATACTACCCATATGGTACCTTGTCTTCACCCTTTGCCCGTTTTATATACAACTTGAACTTTCTTTCTAACTTTCAAGTGAAAGTTAACTACAGAGTCTAGATAAGATACTATGAGTCTACCTCCTTTCCGAATACAAGAAAGAGTGATGATAGTCTTTTTTCTACACTCTACAATGTCATAAAGAGTCACTTCAGAAGTTAAAATAATGGTTTAATCATTGGAATGTTTTGGGATATGAGCTATTTCATCTTGAAGGCAGGATCAATGACTGTTTTTTATATTGTCTATGCAGAGAATCTAATTTTGGGATCATCGCTTATCACTCCTTCTTGTCAATCACCCTCACCCCACCAGTAATGGCAGTAGTACGATCACCTTAGATGGTGAATTTCAAGAGTTTTTACAGTATTCTGAGAATAAAATCCCAAAGGGATACTCCCCTTTCCAAAGGTCCCACAGGGATGTAAAGGTTAGAATACCCATTGGTATTATGTACAATAGGTGGGCTATCTTGAATGGAATAGTATAGTTTGTTGCCAGTCTCCTAGACTCTGGCAAAGAGGGGGTCAAGCTTAAGTACTGCAATGACCTTGAGGTGGAAATTGCCCATGAGCATTGTGTAGATAGTACAAAAGAAGGTGTTCGCTTTTTCAGTTTCCTGGTTACTCTAGAAGGGTTCACAACAGAGGGGTAAAGAAGAGGAAGCTGGGGAGGCATGTGGCAACTAGTCAAGTATTACTTTGTCCACTAACCTTTCCTGGTCTGCCAGGAATCTGAGAGGGGGATGGGGGAGAGAGGGAGAAGGCCATGTGGTGAGTGGAGGGGTGCTCACTAGTGAGGAGGAAATGACTGTACTTGCAAGTTTCTTTCTCTTGTACTTCTTGCTTGGCTTCCACTTCTTGGGATTCCTAGGAAAGTAACTCACTCCTTCCTTGTCAGATTTATGTACTTTGCATTCATCTTTATAGCATATCATTCAGGAGGTTGCTGTATATGCTGCTTTCTTTTTGGATAGCATGGGAAGTGTGACTTCATCTCCCCAGGAGTTGCCTTTGGTTATAGAGCTATCTGTACTGGCCTCACTCCTGGAAGGGCTTTGGTTGCTGTCCTTTCATTTCTAGGATCGGGTGACCACATTGGTCTGAATAGTATTCAATATATAATCAGGACTCACCCTGAGTATTGAATGTCAGGTAGTGAGGGTTGGAGAGTAACATATTGTACCTAGTTATGGGTCACCCCCTAGTAATGGGTCAGTTTTGGCATACTTGTAAAAATCTCAAAACCTACAACCACCAACTCAATATTTACTCTCATGCCCTGATATTTTGTATTATAAAAACTTTTAATTGGGATCTAATGTACATGAAAAAGAGTTTTGTAATAAAAGTAATTGCTTGGTTGAGACCTCAAAGTGATATCCTATGATTCAATCACTATCTCCCTCATAATCAGAACTTAGAATGACTTTATAGTTGACCTTCTTACATGAGGCATGCTGGGGATGGATGGTGCTTGGCTCCATCTGGTCAGAATTGGTATTTTCCCCCTAGAAAACATCAGCTATTGGTTTGAAAATAGTGTAAAATATGAGAGTTTGTACTTACTTATTCATTGACTTCATTGACATCCATATCATCTTCCTCTAGCTCAGAGATTTCCATATTCTCTCCCACACTTGGCTGACATCTGGCCTTCCCACTAGCTTTAACCCCTTGTAATTTGGTCTTCTGTTACTGCCTTGAGAGTCTTTTCTTTGCAGCCAATTCCTTTTTGTGTCTATCATCACTTTCATGCTTCTTATAGAGCTTGGCAAGAACTGACAAATGAAGGATGAGGCCACCCTTAATCTGGTGGTGGTCAGTAGTGCTGGGCTTGACTGCTTGAAGTCTGGTAATTGTTGCTGTATTGAGAACAGCTTGTGCATTTGCCTTACTACACAAGTCCAATGCCTTGTTCATCAAAGCCCAACTCTCATCATCAAGTTCCCATGTGTTGGCCTCCTGCCTGATCTTATCCACCTCGAAAGCAGTCTCTGCATGTTCAGGTAGGGGGTGGAGCCCAGGCCATTGCTGACTGGGGAGTCTTGATTCAGGTGTGCCCATTTGCAGCCCTGATTTGGTCAAAACTCTTTGTTGATTGAATGGTATCATACTGCTTGCATGCTATGCAGATGTAATATTGGTCAGGCTAAGTGCCTTGGATCTAGCCTTGTAGTACATGGGATAAAAGTCTCCCTTATGCATTGTCCAATTTGGTTCATGGTCGCATAGGAAATCCTCCAACTCATGTCGATAGCTGTTTCTAAGTGGTGAGAAAATTCCAATATCCAGTGGCTGAAGAACATGTATTGTATGAGTAGGAAGGCAAATCAGATGAATGTTCATCTTGATACAGTACTCAATAAACTGGATATTGTTCACATGGGAGCTGTGTCCATCTAGGACAAGCATTCAATGCTCTTTGATTCCAGATGCTGGTCTTGTCTTTGGCTTAAACATCTTAACCAACCAGTCAAAGGTAATCTCTGTTGAAGTATAACTGACTTTGGAATGTGTAAAGTAGGCATCTGTATCACACTCATAGTTGATGTTACTATGGTGACCCATCAAGTGGGCATTGGAGGAATGAATAATGAGTGGTGAGATGGAGTTTCCATCACCAGAGATTGCCTCAATCACTGTTACCCAAGAACACTTTCCATCCTGCATAATCCTTGGATTCTTGCTTCCTGTATGACATAGGATTGTTCCTCCTCCTCCCAAACCCATTGCAAAGCCCTTCTTGTCTGTGTTCCGGGTGTTTCCTGGCTTGATATGATATTTGCAATGCATATTGTAATACTGATTGAGATGCTCTTTGAAGATATTAGGATCGGTGGCAAGTACTTGTTACTTATCCAATATTTTCCCAACCTTTGATTGAATATCCAAATGTCTACTGATGAACCAATCGACCCAATGCTTTCCCGCCTCCCCAGTTCTTCCTTTCATCTTCTACAACTAATAAACAATATCTAAGACATGTCGGTGGTAAAGAGGTATGCCCTTATCATTCCAGTCCTTGATTCATTCAACAATGACACTCTCCTCAACCTTCGTGAGTAATTGTTGATACTCGTGGGCTGCTGGAGCAGGTGTTATCTTTTGTTGAGGTCGATATTGAAGTGTTGTATTCGAAATATCAAAAAGAGTGGCAATTTTGCATACAGAGAGATCAGGATGCTCTTCTCGATACTGCAAAGCAGCTAGGATGAAGCCCTCCCTCTCAGCTTTGTTGGGAGCTATAAATGATTTGATTTGAAATGGTGGTTGTCGGAAAAGGCAAACTTTGAGGAGGTTGTTTTGAGTGAGAAAAGTGTGACAAAAATGCACAATAGTTGATGGAATAGCCTGCCTCCAGTACTACTTGGCTTTGTCTCATTTTTTCCCTGCATCATATAGAGACCTATACCTCAACAGCCATATATTAACTCCACTAATTTTCTGAACCCTGAGCTCTGGCAATTGGTATTTATATTAGAGTGATAATTTGTATTTTTAGTACATTAAGGATTCAGCTTTGCAAATATTTACATAGTTTTTCATTGATCTAATCATAAGGTTACTAGCTTCTATGGCATTCAATATTAGGTCATTACAGGGAATATTGAGTTGGTGGTTGTACAGCCACTAGTCAGAAGTGTTCATGATCTGAGACATGTGTTTAATTGCGATTGCGCCATAGTAGGGCCAGTAGTGGGGTAGTGGGGTTGTGGTGTCAACAGCAACAAGGACATGTGCACACAAGTGAATGAGCAAAGGAATGAATGGGCAAGCCAACCACCAAACAACCCACTGTAAATTTAATTATAGAAATTTGAAATAAAGAACCTTGATACTATCTAATACTTTGTATAGCCTCCTCTTGCTTCCAAAACTGCAGCCACTCTACTTGGCATTGATTTCCACAACTTCTCAAAAAACTCGTCAGGAATTGTCTCCCAAACTAAGGGTAAGACCTGGGCCAATCTTTTCTTTACAGCTTCCTTTCCTCCTGGGGTATCTGCAATCCTAGGGTGCTGCTCATGCAATCGCTTTTTAAGCTCAACCCATGCATGCTCAATAGGATTTAAATCAGGGGAGTAGGGGGAGTGTTCCTCCACTTCAATACAGTTTCTCTCCAACCAATCCATAACACTATAAGCTTTGTGAACAGGAGAATTATCCTGCTGAAAGAGGATATCTTGCATACCAAAGGAGATCATTTGATGAATAACAGGAAAAAGATGTCTTCTCAAGAGCCTAACAT